GGAAAGAGGGGACAGACTTCCGCCAAAAACAATTGGCAATTGTTTTACGTGAGGGGTGTTGTGCCAAACGAGGCCACTCTCGTGGAGGTGGAGCCCCGGGTTCAGAGCTTACGAAGCCGTACGGCATTCGCTTTCATCAACCCATCGAGTCATACGATATATGTGTGGTTCGGATGCAAATGTCTGGACGAGACCCGCAAAGTGATGCACAACGCCATCGATCGCCTCATTACTCATAAACCGCCGCAAATCGGACTCAAAGTTGACGCCAATTATGTGACCAAAGAGTTGGACGAAGGAAAGGAAGACAAAGAATTCTGGGATCTATTCGAGAGCCAAGACCGGCGACAACAGCGGCAACGGCTTTACCACTCGTTAATTGATAGTCGGTTCACCTATGACTTCACTCCCAGACTGTTTCACTTGACCTCATCGTCGGGAGAGTTCACCGCCAAAGAGATATTGTGTTCGTATAGGAGTGTCCATAACGTGACGCCCTATCCGTTCACTCAGGAGGACATCTATAGCGCACAACAGCCGACATTCTTCCTGTTCGACAATTGCCACCAAATATTCCTCTGGGAATCGAAGTACGCCTTCTCTAAAGAGGCGACCGACGACTCGGAGGCCAACGCCACCACCGGTTCCCAGACTATCCGTTGGAGCGCCGAACGCAAGTGTGCACTCGATTCAGCCATTGCCTACTGTTTCGGTATTTTATTTCACTTTTGAACGCTATATCGCAATAACTTTCCATTAATGGGTCAATACTTTTAGCCAAAAACAGTGCCGAACCGCCGAATGGGTTCGTCGTGTGCGCCGGACTCGAACCCGACTCCTTCTGCGCTCTATTCCCTCAGTGGACGTACAGAGAGGACGTGGCGCTCCTTCACCAACAGGTAAACCACTCATACCTTTCATAACAATTGATCGTTCGGTTGAATTAAACGATTGGTTTGTATTGAACGATAGGACGGTCGCAAACCGGGAGAAATGTTGGCCATTCAGGAGGTGTTGTCTCAATACAAGACTCAATACAGTTTAGAAGAGCTAACCCGACGACCACTGCCTGAAGGGCTCAACGAGTTATGCCTCGAATCCTACTTAGGAGCCGACGATTTCAGGGTAAGAGCTTTCGTTACAAATGGGAATACCATTTGAGTACAAGTATTGTAATCAAATTGAGTGAAGTTTTGTGCATAAAAATGATAACTTGAATGAAATGATTGAAATGTGTGTTTGTGTTGGTGTTAGGATGTGTTGGGTGTGTCTCGGGAGGAGTTTTACGATAATTTGCCGATTTGGAGGCAAACACAACTCAAGCAAAAGGCAAACCTCTTCTGAAGCGGTGGTCCATCCGTGTCCTCACCATTCATTCGCTTCTCATTCCCGAAG